GGCAGAGAATCAGGAGGAAGTTTCTAGCTTCCTGCCTTGATTTCCCATACACTTCCCATCTCTTGTTTATAGGAATTATGCAACTTGTCAGGCCTGAAAGTGGACTATTGCAGCTCACACTTCTGGAGACGGATTAATCTCTGTAAAGGTCACTCATCACAGTGTGAAACCTTTGGGAGAGATGTAAGTACATTCACAGGCAGCACACCCACAGTCTCTGCCCTAAAAGCCCATCATCTGTTTGCATTCTAGGTTAGCCTTCATACAGTGATTTAGTGGAGGGGAAAAAAACCCACTAAGTAATAGTCAACAAGCAGAACTACAAACCCTATAATCAGTTACCTATAAACGTCTGCTTTAATCGTCTTTAGGAATAAATTACTTTTTTTAAGTGACCATTCTTTTCTCCTGTAGAGATTTACCCAATTATTGCTAGTAGAAGCTGGTGGGCGACAGTCATAGCTACTCAGTGATTTCATTACAACCAAGATATTATGTAATACTACTTTACTACTGGTGCTATGGTAACACCATGAGTCACCCACCAGAAATGGAGCCCCTTTAGCAAGGCACTGAACATACAGAAGAAAGCATGGTCCCCTGCCCCAAAATTCTTATAATCCAATTGAAGTCCAAGGCACAAGAAATGAGTATAACTAATTACAGGAGTGAGTTGGGATGAGGGAATTGGAAATAAGATCATTTTACAACCTATATGTACAGAAATTATATTTCCTGCTTCCAAAATACAGCCACTTTTGATTGGAATACAGCCGCTATTTAATACAGCTCGCAGGAACCCTACATAGCAATTTAGAATAATATCCCACTGAAACGGCACAGGGAGCTTTAGGAGGCAGAATGCAGAGGCTAACACCCCAATCTTGATAAAAATTCCATGGGGAATTGGCTCAGTTTTAACTGAGAGAGGACTCTGTAGAACCAAAAGACGACTGTTAGAAGTGACAGTGTAAAATGCAAGCATGATGATACAAAAAGATTGAACTTTATTAGTCACTTAAAATAAAGGACAAGCACTGTTTGACTCTTTCAGCACCTTGCACATGGGATGCTTGCTCGTGGTCATTCAAGGTCTCATGACAATCCTTCTTGCCCCATTAGAGTCATTGATCTACATTTCTTGTAGAAATTCCAACTTAGGGACAGAAATTGATTTCTACCCATCTAAATTCACTTTGGTTCAAATGGAAAAGCTGTTATACATCTGTTTTTGGAAGGGGAGATGAAAATTTGTACCGACATTATAATAATGGCTTTTGTGCCCAACCCCAGAGGAAGTTGTATCTTAGAGATGGGAGAAATGAAAGGCTCTCTCCCAATGGATAGCTGTAATGTTGTAAAGTTATTCCAGTGTTTGTCAAAAGTGATACATGCATTACAAAACATCAGTAAGTTAGCAACAAATTCCATCAGAGTGCGCTGTCTGCAAAGCTCATTTGGGGCCTACCTTCAAATGCCTGCTTTGACATACTGAGTACCCTGAACCCCACCAAAGTCATCTTGTAGCACTGGGCTCTCAAAAGACTGCACTGTATCTGGCTATTGAAGCAAGTGTCTGTTTCTGGGAGGGGAGCAATTTGTGTTGCAATAGTAACTTTTATTTTAGTTTTTAAGTGGATGCATTTTACACAAGATACAGAGAAGCATTTTTCATCTCACTGATTAATGTTTAAACTACACAGCAGGAACCCAGTTTTCAAGTAACCTACCTCTGACAATGCTTAATTTGTGAGGTGAGAGAGGTGGCTTGGGAACTGCATCTTTCTTTTTTTTGGTTGCAACTCCTGTGACGCTTCTGTTCTTGAGAACATCTGTTCCCCAAATCATTACCGCTAGGTTTTTTGTATACTTTGAATCTCCTTGTGTTACTTGCAGCTGGTGCCATTTCTCCTCATCTACCCAGATTCCACTGCCCAGATGGACCTAGAAAGTAGTAATAAAACAAACAACAACTTAGCATCTGTGGTACGCGGCACACAACAGTGTCCAAGCACTGTATGAACACTAGTATTAGGTACTATAATAATAAATAATAATAATAATAATGATGATAATAAAGACTAGGCAAACTGAATTTGCTTAGTTTTGAACCCTGTCCAACATTGTATCCGAAGAAGTGAGGTTTTTACTCACGAAAGCTTATGCCCAAATAAATCTGTTAGTCTTTAAGGTGCCACCAGACTCCTTGTTGTTTTTGTAGATACAGACTAACACGGCTACCCCCTGATACCTGTCCAACATTGTGGGTCAGTAAGTTTGAGTCGAACTCTTACATTTTGTGTTTCACTTTCCTTTGTTTTTCCAGTCCTTTTACTCTTAACTCCTCTCCCCCTCCCCGCCGATAGTCTCTCTCCTGAAAGACTATGATAAAAGGACCAGAAATAGGACAGAGAAAAATTATAATTAGCAAGTATATCTAGTACTCTCTATATGCACTGTATTCAAGCCAATCACTTGGGCCAGCCTAATTTGGGGCAAGGAAAAATGTTCTATTCTTAGTACACAGCACAGGCTTCCCTTTTACCAGGAGAACCCAATTTACTCAAATCACACTTTGGGAGGTGGTGGGGAGGAAAGAACACTATGGACCAAATTCTGGTCCCACTGAAGTCTGTGATAAACCTCATGTTGACTTCAATTGGAGTTGGATTAGCCCCCCGTTTAAATTACAAGGGTGGTGGTTGGTGAGGTGGAAGGAGGAGTTCAGCACTCCAATTAATTGTTAACCCTTTGAACCCAAAAGACTGCGTGCAAGCTTCACAAAACCTAATTCCAGCAATGAAGTTTGTCCATTCCTAATAGCTACAACTGAACTACTATTATGGAGAAATGCAACAATATTTCTGTAAAACTGTAAAAGGAAAAGCGAAGGAAGAAGGGAGCTTCCTTCCTTAGAATTTTCAAATGGACAAAATCCTAAAGGGTGTGTGTGGGGGGGAGAGATAATGGACACAAGTATTGTGACAGCCCAAGTTCAGTTTTCACAACAATTGAGGATTTTTTTTATAACTTTTACAGCATGAAAAAAGGAAAATAGTCTAACAGTAAACTTAAGTTTTTTTTTTTTTAAACATCTTTCATGTTAATGATCTAAAATTTTATCTATGTTACTCACAAAAGATCTGCATTGCACAGCTCACACATAAAGGAGTGACTTTATACATGCAAAGAGTCTTATTACATTCACTGAAAATGGGCAAAGACATTTTTAAATTTCATAGGTCCAACCTCTGAGTCTCTGTTAGTCAAAATTCTCAGTGACTTCAACTGGAGTTTTTCCTGAATTAGGACTGCAAGCTATTGCCTGAAAATCATTTTTATTATAACAGTGTCTGTGATATGGTGTATTCGGCCTTTGTGGCTCCCTGCTGGGAGCCCTGTGGTCCTACTACACCCATCCCAAGTAGCAGCAAGGTGAAACGAAAAGAGCAGCAAAGGAGGTCCTTCAACTTTGCCCACAGAGGAGTCTCCAGAGTGGCCATTTTGGAAACTAGAGAGACCTGGTCCTCCAAAAAGCTAGAAAAGCAAGCAACAGCCAACCAAGGCCCTGGTGACCCAAATAAGAGGAGCTGCCTGGCCTTAGCAGTCCTGGCCAAAGGAACTTGAAGAATAGCCAGAGTTTGTTTTCTGACTGCGTTTTGTTTGCATAGCTTGCTTTGAATGGAGGGTGGGAGGGGAGGACCTGAGATAAGGATAAAGCTAAAGGGCCCAGGTGGGAAAACACCAAGGAAAAAAAAGCAGAAAAAAAACTAATCAAACAGTATGTGGCCACTGTGTATAGAGCCCCTGGGTTGGAACTCGGAGTAGTGGGTGGGCCCAGGTTCCTCTACTGGCCACAGGTAAAGTGGTATAAACCCCAAAGAAAGCATGGTGCTTATTTGTGAGCCTGAACAAAAGGCTGAATTTAAAGGGCCCCAGAGATGGGGCTGAAGACCCCAGCAAGGGCGAACAGATTGTTTATTTATTGGACTCTAATACCCCAGAAGGGGTTCATTTGGACTTTGAGGCTCCAGGGATGAAGGACTGCAATAACTGCTTCTGGGGGCATTCTGCACCAAAAAATTAAAAATTCTGCACACAATATTTGAAAATTCTGCATATTTTGTCAAAACAACACAATATAATCATGCCAGTTACCATTATTTCGGTAATTTATTTCAAAATATCTGTCAGCAAGGATGTCTAACAATATGGACAAAAAAAATATTCTGGTAATTTTTTTTTTTGGACAAATAGATTCCTTAAAAGGCATATTAATACAGAACAAAATGTAATAATTTAAATTACAATACAGAACTGTATTTCCTGAACCTGTCAGAAGCAGTGCAAAGGCTTGGGGGAGTCAGGGGTAATGGAGGAGCTGAGGGAGAGGGAAGGCACCTAGGAGTGAACCTGGAGGGTATTGGGTGTGGGTTGGAGGCTTTTCTAAAGGGAGAGGATTGTTAGGGTGTTGGGTAGGGTTACCATATTCAAACATTTAAAAAAGAGGACACTCCACAGGGCCCCGGCCCAGCCCCAGCCCCACCCCCTTCTCCGCCCCCATTCCAACCCCTTCCCCAGAGTCCCTGCCTCAACTCTGCCCCCTCCTCTGAGCACCCCGCATTCCCCCTCCTCCCTCCCGCTCTGATCTTGGTTGGGGGTTGCTAAGTGCTTCCCTGCTCCCCACTCGCCCCGCAGCCCCTATGCCCTTGCCTGCCCTGCTCCTCCTCACCCTGCAGCCTCTGCACGCCCCCTGCCCCTGCAGCCTCTGTCCCCCCTGCTCCCCACTCGCCCTGCAGCCTCTGCACCCCCCCGCCACCTGCCCTGCTCCCCCCGCTCACCCGGCAGAGGGAGAAATGCAGGCTCCACGTGGAATCAAACACAGCCGCGCTGCTCTGTGGGGGAGGGGGGAGCGGGGGAGGGGGAGGGACTCTGGCTGCTAGAGGCCCTAGTGGCTGCGAGCGGCTTTCAATCAGGCCAGGCGTCCAATCAGCCGCGCCACACTCCGCATGAGGGGAAGGGGGAAATCCCGGACATTTCTACTTGATTAGAAATCCCCCCCGGACGGCCATTTAACACCGAAAAAGCCAGACATGTCCGGGGAAAGCCGGACGGATGGTAACCCTAGTGTTGGGAAGCTTCCCCCATGCAGACCCTGGCTGACCCCAAGCCTCTTCCATTCAGTCAGGCACGTCTGCCCCGTTCCTGCACCCCTCATCCCCAAAGCTTTGCAGCCCTCATCCCGTCCTCACTAGCTCCTGAGCCCATGCTCCAGTCTGTCTCCCCCCACCCCCCATAGCCATTCTGAACCCCACAGCAGCCCTTTGTGCCCCACTCTGTCCTAACCTGGCGCCGCAGACAGGGTGATGTTATGAACTCTACTCCTAGGGCAGTTCTGCTGCACTGGGCATAGAATTTTGTATTTTGCCCCAGAAGTGCTGCAGTTCTGCCTTTTGCCCACCAGAGGCCGCTGTGGCACCAGAACAGCCAGCTGCATTAATGATGGCTGTTCTAGTGCCACAGCAGCCTCTGGTGGGCAAAAAGCAGAACTGCAGCACTTGGGCAAAATGTTTTTATGCGGGAAAATACAAAATTATGCGGGACAGATGAATTCTGTGTGTCCGCAGATGCGCAGAATTCCCCCAGGAGTAAATACCGCACCCAGCTGTAAGGAGGCAATCAAGAGATGACGGTCCCTTCAGTGTCCTTAAGTAGCATTGTTTAAAACCTTAACTGTCGAAATATTAATGTTCTAGTTACTGATTGCCACATGGCAATCAAGTAAAGAGTCTAGCTTTCTTAAAAGCATGAACACAAGCAAATTGCCTCTTCTGTATATAATTTCTTCAGACAGTGGTGAAACTGCAAAAGGCAGATTATAGTTTGTTTGTTTTAAACTAGTCATGCGTAAAAATATTCCTTTCATGACCAGATATTTTAAAGAATCTTACAACATAGGTAAAAAAAAAACCAAATGGACAAACAAGTTACATAATCCTCAATATACAATTACTTCCTTCTCCCCACTCTGATCAGTCTCTATATAATTACTATTTATTTATTTATTTATTTTAAAGCACTCTCTTTTGGTTCCATCCCCATACTCTGTAAAACAACTCCAATCACAGCCAGCAGCTAGTGCTCAGAAGTCAGGATGATTTTGGATTTTCCAAGACTAAAATACAAATACTCTAAATAAGAAACACAATGGAGTTGTTTAGAATATTTCATGGAGATTTAAAACAAAAAATCAGTAGCATTCTGAAGTGCTGAATTCTGGGTTTGACTACTAAATGAAAACCAGAAAGCTGAATGCTCCATTTTATCAAAAAGCTAAGTATAGTGTATTCCAGGGTACAGCTAGCAGCTCCATATTAACATGCATAGATGCCTTAGTCTCTTTCTAGGCCTTAAGTACGTCATGTATTCACAGGTTTTTACTTAAAATATTTTAAAATAGCCCATTATAAGAAACATTTTTTAAAGATTCATCTTTCAAACAGTCTCCCCATTCTTGAGAGCTTTTCATTTATTCGAAGGAAATGTTATTGTTGGTATCAAACAGATGTCTGTGGTTATAGTAGGCCACTTGACCACAGGAATCCTAGGTTCTCTTTTATATTTCCAGCTCTGTTGCTAACTTGCTGTATATTCTTAGGCAAGTAACTTATTCCCCCATCCTCTTTTTACCCTTCTGTAAAACTGGCATGATAATACTTATCTACTACTCTCAGAGGTACTGCTGTGAGGCCTAATGAAATCAGTTTTGTAAGTATTTTGTGATCTTTGGATGACAGGCACCAACCAAGTGTAAGATCCTTTGCCTGTTGAAGTCAATGGGAGCTTTGCCACTAAAATCACTGAGCTCAGGATCAACCTCCAAGAACAAAACAAACAACAAGAACAGAATACTTTAGTAACCATGACAACATGAACAATGTATCTAACACACACCACAGGCTCTTCTTACATTTTCTTCTTTAATGCTGTCCTCTCTTTTGGGATAGAGAAGAGTTTCTCTGACATGAGTGAGAATCCTACCATGATCACAGCCAATACCCCAAAGTGTGAAGTTTGTAAAATAGCCTTTCTACAACTCCACTGCAGATCAGGTTAACAAAAAGAATGGTATGAATTAGTGAAAACGTTAAAAGCTGGCCATCTTAAGTGTGTCACCAAAATATATCAATTGTTTTTAAATGGTTACAATGATCTAAATCCCAATAAACAAAGTGTTTTGATATCTCTGTTAAAATATATAACAATGAATTATTATTATAACTTCATATTCAAGGGAAATGTCAAAAACCAGATACAATCAATAGTGTGATGTTGATTTTAAGGTGAAATAGAATGTGCTATGTTTTTCTGCCACTATAACTATGTTAAATAATATTTGGTAGCCAAAAGGAGCACGGGGGAGCCTGATGTGGCTATTGCTTTCTAGAGTTTTCTCCAATTGCATACACATCCCAAGCATGGGGATCTGCTGAGCATGGTATAATTTCAGTGGATTTACGTAAACACTAAAGTTTATTCATTGTGTCCTTTTCCGTATATTGACTGTGTGCATTCACTTCAAAGTATCATTGATCATCTTACCACCAATTATCAGTTTCAAATATGGTACATATTTGTCTTTTACTTAGGGATTAGTACCCGCAACCCCATGCTGTCACATAGGTGTAATTCGTAAAGTCATAAATGTAAAAAAGTTGAAAACAGCTGAGAACTTAAAAACTGGACAGTAACAAGTCATGAACCTCCAGTGATGACAGAACCTGGTGAACAACAAGAGTTCTCAACCATGTTTGTAGTTGTTTCCATCGTCTCACACTAACTCAAACATTTTAAATACTCAGAGTGACGTTTGGCGTTGTGGTATGTGCTGATCGTGCTGTTGAATGGAGGGCTGTGTTGTGCTGGAAGAGATATGAATTTGTACACATTGCAAAGGAAGGGTATATGTTGTGATGAGGCATGTTTGGGGTTACTGTGTGTGCTGATTGCAGTATGTGGGGGTGGTTGTGTTGATTTGTGTCTAGAGAGGGTTGCATTGAGAGATGTGTGTTTTGTGCAGGTAGCAGTTGCCAAAATCTACAGTCTCCCTCATGCAACAAATGAAACTGTTGCATTCAACTTGGCTGTAGAGTAAAGGAGGCAATTGGTTGAGTTACCTCTGAGATCACAGTGGTCTAGAACTTTTGGCATGCCACAGATACATGCTTTCTGTAGCTGTACACTGTATGGGTGTAATTTGTCAAGTCAAAATGGCTGCAAATTTAAAAACTGGACGGTAACAGATCACAATACCCAGTGACATAGGTGCCGACTTCTACTGGCCCCGGTAGGTGCTCGACCCCACTCTGCCGCTGGCCCCACCCTGACTCCACTCCCTTCCGTCCCCATTCCAAACCCTTCCCCAATGTCCCCGCCCCAACTCAGCCCCCTCCCTGCCCCTATTCCAACTCCTTCCCCAAATCCTTGCTCCGGCCCTGCCTCCTCCTCTGAGCACACCATGTTTCCACTCCTCCCCCCTCCTTCCCAGAGCTTGCTACAGCTGTTTGGCGGCGGCAAGCGCTGGGAGGTAGGCCGAGGAACGGGGACGTGGCGCAATCAGGGGAGGAGGTGGTGTGGGAAGCTTGACTGCTGCTGGGTGCAGAGCACCCACTAATTTTTCCCTGTGGGTGCTCCAGCCCCGGAGCACCCACAGAGTCGGCGCCTACGCCCAGTGATGATTCATCCTGATAATATTCTGAATTAAAAAAGAGCCACCAACCATGTTTGTAGCTATTTCCATCATTTCCTACCAACTCTACAGACATAAGCTTCTGAGTGATACACAGAGTGATGTTCCTGTAATCTTATTATACAGATACTATTGTACTTTGTGAAAATTTAGGAAAACACCAAACACAGTAGTAGCTTACAGCAAAGATTCTAATGTCATGAAAGTTTGGTATGAAATCCACCTGAAGAACAGTTAAAAGACTATTTATAAAGTATTTAGTTTCAAATACCTTTCCGTTCTCGAGAATATACTTGTCCATTACTGGAACAGGGGCAGGATAATATGTTGATGTATTCGCTTCCTCACTGAATGTTTTCTGTATCTCAGGCTCAGGCTCAATTGATTCTGGTTTTCCTTTTTCAAGCTCAATGGCAGGACCTACACAGTTAAGAAAAGAGATTGGTCTGCTATCCCAAAGAACATGAAATCAATCATTTTACTGACCAATGGTCAGCATAGACCACCACATTAGTCATGTTTGTTTTAGAATGGAAGTGGGTCCAAAGCAAAACCCTTCATCTGAACAGTCCCCAATAAAAATCGGGGTAAGAATTGAGGCTCTAACCCATTCCTGCTTTAAACACTTAACGCTAAAGAATCATGCTTAAAAATAAGGGTGTGTATGGACAGTTCAAAGAATATGGGTGAAGGAGCTATAACCTGTACTCAAAGGAATGATAATACAACAGAGTTGAACATATAAACCAGAGGTGGTAACAGTTATCCTTCAAATTAGAAATACTGTATAGTGACTTGGAAAATTATGTGTTATCTATACTTTTTCATGGAAAAAATTAAAAATATTTAAAACGTTCTTTAAATAGGGGAATGTAAAATAAGAATGAATAGAAATGGTACAGATAAGTGAATGGACTTGGGATACTTATGCTAAAATTCCATAAATGTAAGGAACATCTCAGTGTTAACGCAACATAGATCAGGCAATCAAAATTCTAATGTATCAACTACAGATTTGTATTTTAATGTAATCAACAAAAATTAAGCGCAGTTTAAACAATGGAAGATTGCTAAGCAGATGTTTGAAGTTTCTAAGGAAGATAAATTAACTATCAATGACACCAGCTCTTCAGAATTCTCCCCCATCCCCACCAGATCTGCTACTACAAAGTGATCCTAAACGGGTCAAATAATACAATTTGTGAACTGGATTTTATAATTTCATTAATTATAACTGTGATAGCACCAGTAAATACAGTCTAAGGCGCCGATCCTGAAAGCAAACCACAGGATACCACATGAAGCTCCATTAGAGACAATGTAGTTTTGTACAGGTACAGGTCAGTATAGTATCAGTTGCAGGATCAGGACCAAAGGACAAGAATAACTCCCATATTCCCTAGAACTACACTATGATGGAGTGAGTTAGCATTGCATATCTAACATTTGAGTCTTGAATAACCACAAAACTAATTTAATAACCTTTAACCGTGGAAATGAGTCTCAGCAGTTGCCGTCTCTCTTTTTGTATACATAGCCCCAAGTTTTGTCTTGCTCTAACCCAGCAAATCAGACTGCGGTTTCAGCTAATGGCAGTATAGCTGCTGTATCATATTTCTTGGACATTCGCTGTATCTGAAACTATTATGGCATCTTTTACTCCTTATGCTGCACAGAATCATATGAAAGCTTAGTATGCAAAAAATAGCAATTTCCCCATGTGGCTTAACATTGCTTGTACATGATGTAAATATCAGTTATTTTGCACTTGGAACTAGTGGGATGCATTTAGCTTATTGTCAAGGACCAAAAATTCCAGTTCTTTGGACAACTCTATTCTGCAGTGACAACTATTGGGTTTCTTAGGAAATGAATGCAAGTATGGTACCAATACAGGACCACATGAAAGACAGAACATTTGCATTATAGTTTCACAGCAGCATCCACAGACATCTGCAACATCATACACAAGCAGACACTGATGTTGGCACCAAATAAAGACTGAACAGTTCCATTTAAAACTGACAAAACCACGCATAGCAGTAGATCACCTGCAAGACTCTCTTTTATGAGTGGATGTGGTAGAAATGTTCAACCTCTTCCCACATTCTTTAATGAACTGAACAAGCAGGGTACTGATACACAACTACCCTAAAGCAGCGGTTTTCAACCTGTGATCTGTGGATTCCTGGAAGTCCACAGACTATGTCTAAGGGGTCTATGAAAATAAAGTTTCAGATCCCAGAAAAGGCATTAAGAACATAAGAACGGCCATACAGGGTCAGACCACGGGTCCATCTAGCCCAGTATCCTGTCTTCCAACAGTGGCCAATGCCAGGTGCCCCAGAGGGAATGAACAGAACAGGTAATCATCAAGTGATCCATCCCCTGTCGCCCATTCCCAGCTTCTGGCAAACAGAGCCTAGGGACACCATCCCTGCCCATCCTGGCTAATAGCCATTGATGGACCTATCTTCCATTACTTATCTGGTTCTTTTTTGAACCCTTTTATAGTCATGGCCTTCACAACATCCTCTGGCAAAGAGTTCCACAGACTGACACTGTGCGTTGTGTGAAAAAAATACTTCCGTTTGTTTTAAACCCTCTGTCTATTAATTTCATTGGGTGACCCCTACTTGTGTTATGAGAAGGACTAAACAACACATCCTTATTTACTTTGTTTTTCTGATCAAAAGTATTTGAATACCCCCACCTACAGGCCAAAATCCGGAAGTGTTGTCATTACCACAGAAGCCCACAGTTTAGCCCCCTTTCTCACGGTTGTGTCAACTGCCACGCCGAGCACGTGCAACATTTACAGTTGAATTCTGTTCAGTCAGTTTTCAGTGTAAGACTTCTATGGTAGGAGTTCGCAGACCAGAGGTTGAATTTCCAAAAGGGCTGCATCTCTATTCCAAATTGTTTAGGGGTCTGCACATGAAACAAAGGTTGAAAACCACTGCCCTAGAGATTGTCTTGACTATAGGCAGGGAATAGAACATTCCTGCCTTTTCTTGATGCAAACTGTTCAATGAGCTCAAGGAAAGTAATCCTCAAGATGTACAATTCTGTGCTTTGAAGGAAAATTCAGGGGGGGAAAAAAACCAAACAAAAAAACCTACGTTGAAGTATTTTCTTCCTAGACTGAAAAGTGTTTCTTGGTTTAAACATTTATGCTATTTTCTACTTGGAGGTTTTTTTACTGTTTGTTTACAGCCAGTATATTGCCACAGCTGGGGTTTGGTTTCCAGATTTCCCTAAAGAAGAGTAACTGGTAAAAGTCCACTGTAGCAGCAAGTCTCAGGAGCCACAAAAATATCAAATTTAACTGATGCTTTATTGCTTGGAAGCCACAGACACAAAGCCTTAAAAATGCCTTATTTTATACTCTAAAAGCTTGCTCCCTCCCCTCCAAAAACCCATAAAGCTGCATCTAACTGGCTAGGCTTCACAGTTCTTTTCACTAAGTACTCAAGACTGCATTTTCAGCACAGCATGTTGTGAATTAGACATGCAACTCACTCTATTGCTTTATTGCTAATGGGAGTTGCGTGCCTAATTTGCCATGCACCACACTTTAAATTTACTTTTTAAAGTTTCTCTCTCTTTGTAGCTTTTTTTGCTCTCTTTTTTTGTTTTTCTAAATAAAGGGAGGGAGGGAGCGAGTGAAAGAAATTGGCCACGGCGCCAAGGCTCAAAAATGCGAATATTTACTACATAATGATTATTTTAAAATACAGCAAAGACAATTTTTAAGAATGGGAAAAAGTAAAGAAACCTTTCAAGTTCACTCCGAATTTTCAGTTTTTCTTTAGGGGGAGGGTTTCTGAATTAGTGGTTGCTCAATATGGAACCACAATAGCTTCAGCTGCAGTATCAGATGCCAGGCTTTCCACCGTGTGTGGATCACCTCATTCTCTCAAAGACACATTGCAGGCTTTGATGCTACTTGAGATGCGTGGAGGTGCATTGTTCAGCACTTCCCTTTTGTGGCAGGAAGCCTCTGCTTTTCCCCATGTCTACCAGAAAGGGACCGCACATGACATTAGAGGAATCTGGGAAATCTTGGATTTTTAGACACGGTTCTTGATTTGCTGCCTATTTACTATTACTCATGGTGCTGCAGTAAATGTTTGTTTGTTCAGTTCTACTGCCATTTGCTTATAAGACTCTGACTCTCTCTTTCACTGAGAGAGAGAGAGAGAGAGAGAGAGGGGCCTGGTCCCCACTAACCCCCCACTTCGGACTAAGGTACGCAAATTCAGCTACGTTAATAACGTAGCTGAATTCGAAGTACCTTAGTCCGAACTTACCGCTGGTCCAGAAGCGGCAGGAAGGCTCCCCCGTCGATGCCGCGTACTCCTCTCGGTGAGCTGGAGTACCGGCGTCGACGGCGAGCACTTCCGGGATCGATCCGGGATCGATTGCCTGCCACCGGACCCTCCGGTAAGTGAAGACGTACCCAGAGTCCAGAAAGCAGCTGCATATGGCCATGTGAGAATTCTTCTGGTGTGGGGCAATTCTCCGCTGGTGCTGTACCAGCATATCCAGCTCCTCCTCCACTCCGGTTCCCAGGCAGGGATGAGGATGCGGCTGAAATTCAACGTGTTCCTGCTAGGCTCAGTTGGGGTAATGGTTCCATACTGACTGTAGCCATCCAGTATAAATTGGAACAGCCTTGGGCTGCTCTTACCTATGTCACAACTCAGGATGACACAGACCTGGCCCCAAGAATGAAGAAGCTGTAACTAGATAAGCTGGAAGATAAGCAAAGAATTTGGGTGAATCTCTCCCTTTCTGTCCTACTGCAATACTAAGAATTAAGAGTATAGTGTGAAAACCATCATAAGTGTAAGAGGCTGGTAGAACTAGCTAGAGCCATGCATTGTTCCTGTAAGAGATGTGCAATCTTCTCAATAGAACACTACTGCTTCTAGAATCATCCTCTGAGTTGATACGGACAATCAATCATACTAAATTGTGCAGTGCTTACCCAATGTGAACTCTGTTATCCTCTAACATTTTTATATTATTCAAATCCATATCACTCGTGATCCCAGTAATATTTGGAGCTGGACTTCCAGAGGAGAGATGTCTACACTGAAATAAGAGATCCCTGGCACGACTGTGGCTGGCCCAGGTCAGCAGACACTCGCTCGTGGAGCTCAGGCTATGGGACTAAAAATTGCTGTGCAGCTGTTCAGGCTCGGGCTGGACCCTGGGACCCTCCTCCCTTGTGAGGTCCGAGAGCCCGGGCTTCAGTCCCGAGCCCAAACATAAACATACCAATTTTACAGCCCCATGAGCACAAATCAGCTGACTCAAGCCAGCCCTGGGTGTTCAACTGCTGCACAGGTGTACCCAACATGTACTGGATCATGCAGCCCCTTACATAAGGGCAAGATTGTGCCCAGTCAGGTGTATAACACAGAGGAGAGGGAAAGTGGTCAAAAATAGTCTTTGCATGTGTGCAGAGGCCTAGCACTATATGATCCTGGCTAGAGAGGTGAATGCCATGGCAGTGCATCCCCTCCAAGCAGCAGAGGAAATATCCATTGAACCAAAACCCTTGAAGAGGTGCAGCATGTACTTTCTCCCCCACCCCTTTGCTCCCTGGAACTCTAGGAGATATTGTGTCTCCATGAGACCGTGTACTGCTGCACCACCTCAAATGAAAGGTTATGCCTTAACATCAGAATAGAGCCCTTAATATTTCATAAAGAATAGCGAAATACTGACCATCTTATTCTCCTCCTGATGCATCTGAGGATGCTGTGTCAGCTATGGCAAGTCATTTCCAAGGCCCTTGTATAATAAATTGCAACTCAGTATAATAATGTAAAGGGCTATGAACACTGATATTCACACTGTCAGTGGGGCAGCAAGTTCCAGTAACAGAGAAAGAGATTAACTGAACTTTCTTCTACATTTGGCCTTCAAGTTTAAAACATCAGCAATAATACACGTTTCCCCCAGCTGTGATTCATCCGTACAAAACAGCTGTCATCTCACACAAAGAAAGTGTAAGTCCCTAGGTGAAACAGAAATGCAATTAGTTTGCATTAACAGTAGCCTGCTAAAAGTATAACTTCACATAAATTATGTGCAATTTGAAACTCTAGGTTCATAAACTCACCATAACAACTAAATACAAATCCAAGACACTACCCTTTTAAACTATTTTCATGGACAGCACATTCACAACCATCATAAAGTAACCATTTTGTTTTGTTTGAGATTCCCCCTCTTATCACAATTGAAGTCTGCAGTAGTTCCACATTTCTAACCATAAACTAATTTTGCATCTATTTTCCCAAGGGCTGACACTTTTTCTATTTTAATATAACCATTACAGGAAATGGACATTGAATTATCTGCATTTGCTGCTTCAAGTCTTGACAGAATGTATATGGCTACATTTAGGTCCAACTTTTACCTTTGCACATTAATAACCCCACCAAAACCAACAGGACTGTATGGATTTAGGGAAGAATTTAATACGCAAACTATACAGTCAAACACTCCAGAAAGGCTAGGAATCCAAGTACTTTCTAATGTTTAAGGGATTCCCCACCCGTATATTAAAAACAATGGAACTTTCTAAATTAATATGCACATCTGGACAGGGATTGAATACAAAATTTAAAAAGCGCAAACCTTCATTTTTTATAGTGTCCCAAAATTACAGAGTACAACAAACGTGTTTGCTCTGTATAGGAGTGCAAAGGAGGCGGAAGAGGCAACAAGCTTTCCATTTCCTTTGCAAAGGTCTAATACAACAGCATCCTTGCACACTGCTAGTGCTGCTGCTTCTTATAGCTTTCTCCAAAGTGTGGAGGGGGAGGGAGGAGGAGATAAGGGCAATGGGAGAAGCAGATGTGACCAAGCAGAGAGGTTACTCCTGGGGGAATTCTACACCAGTGTGTGTGTGTGTGCGCACGCGCAATTCATGTCCCACACAGATTTTTTTCTTCCTCTGCAGGAAATGTGTTCTGCTGGGGTGGCACTACAGTTATGATTTTCACTCACCAGGGGCTGCTGTGGTGCCAAAACAGAGGGCAGCTGGCTCCCTGGCCACAGCAGCCAATAGGGGGGAGAAGAGGCTGCATTCCTCACAGCACCCTACCCATGGGGCCAGAGGAGGCGGCACGGGGCTGCTGGTGGGGTCACAGACTGGGAATCAGAAGGGCTAGTGGGGGGAGGGAAGACAGACTGGGGCAGGGACTGAATCGGAGTGCAGGGACACTTGGGGACAGGGGCAGATGTGCATGACTCAATAGGGGAGGCTAGGGATCAGCATGGGGGACTCCCCAACTCCCTAACAATCCCTCCCCACCAACCCAAAAAACAAACCTGTTCCATACTTCTCTCACCCACACGTAACAACCCTCCAGGTTCACTCTCAAGCTCCTTCCCAGAAATTACTTCTCTCTCTCCCTCAGCTCCTCCCTTACCCCTGACTCCCCCAAGCCTTCTGAGGGGTGGTGGAAATACAGTTCTGTATTGTAGTTTAAATGAATTACTTAAAATTCTGTATTAATATGCCAAGTAAGGAATCTATTTGTCAAAAAACATTTCCTGAATCCTTTTTGTTGTATGTATTGTTACAGACATACTTGCTTACAGAAAGGTACTCTGAAATAAAATTACCAAAATAATTGAAATTGGCATGATTATATTGTGTTATTTTGACAAATAAAATATGCAGAATTTTAAAATATTGTGTGCAGAATTTAATTTTTTGGCACAGAATTCCCCCAGGAGTCGGAGGTGGGAGCTGCACCCTCTTCAGGAGTGAAGCAGTGACCAGATCAATGGGACGCACTGTCCATTTCTGCAAAGCGGACCACAGGGTTGGAACTGCATGAAGTTTGTCTTCAGCAAAATCACTCCCAATAGTGAATAGATAAGCCAGGTATTGGAAAAAGGTGCTACTAGTTTCACTAGTTCATTGCAGAGAGCCTATTTCTATAAATGTCTAGATTCATCACTCAAATCTGAAATAGTTAAAAAAAAATCTGCTGAATGGATTTCTTCAATGCTGGTGGTATTAATTATCATTAAAATCGTGCCAGATTGATGCATTAGAAACTCAAGTCCACTATCTAGAGAATATATTTGGCATGGGCAACACCTTTTCAAGTTTTTTTCACCAGTCTATGCAAAGATGTATCAAATCCCTATTGAAGAAACTATCCCTAGGAATGAAAGGATAGTCCATAGCCTGTGTTCATTCCAGTTTTGGCCTCACAACTGAGACTACCAGCAAGCACGCCCAATAGAACAATGATTAGCAGACTTGCCTGCTAATATCTGGACTGACAATTCACATATGTCCTACTATCGGCTAAATGAACATCTTTTCATCCAAGGAGAATTTCAGAGAACTCACTGGAATTTACAACCACCCACACTGTGTCTTTGATACTGTGGGGAAAGCCTTGCTTATTTATGTTTACATGCCCTTTAATTAATTACTCTGGGTATTCACCATACTAAATACATCTTAAATCTTTGGAATCAATTTTTCAAAGTGAATGTCAATCAAGCACACTTTAATGTGTGCAAAAACCATGAACATGTAATTTTTCACATCCAACATCTTGTGTGGACAAAACTCAGATTGGCACGCAAACCACATACACTCATGCAAATCTAACAGGTGGCCCCCTACTCAAATTATGTGTGAAAATCTACTTCTACATGTCCCAAAACAGACATGGAAAACAGCATGCCAAAGCTTGGGCGTGTAACCTATAACTGCAAATTACAGTGGCCAGGACTTGACTATGGACCCTTTTGACTATTGGGCTCTGAATTTTATTTACAAATAAAAACAAATATGGAAACTATTTTTAAAATCATAATGAAGCATTCAAGTTTTATCACCCCCAGCGACACAGATTACTATTCTGCACCAATTCCAATATAATAGTTAAATAGTTATCACTGAACAACAAAAACCAAAAAAAAAGTGCCATTGATTCAAGCTATTTGGCATCTAAATCCAAAATTGTATAAAACCTGCATTTAATAACCAACAACATTCTTTATAATGGATCATTGTGATTATTAAAAAATATACTTATGTTCATGAATAGCCCATAATTTCTCAAATACCTTGGCTGTTTAAATCAAATGCCAAAAGGTTCAAGAACATAATCTAATGACCTACAAAAAGTTTTAAAAAGCCAAAACTTGGTTATTTATTCATAACAAAGAAACCTTAAACAAAAACCCCACAAACAGCTGCAATAGTAAGACCTTATGGTCTACAGTTATTGTGCGCTGAATGGAATTTTTTTTTAAATGTAAATTAATAAAGGAAAGACAGATATGTTCCAAAGATAAACTTTACTACAACTTTCAGCTTGGGGTGAAAGTTCAGTTCTTTTAAAAAAAAAAAAGAAAAAAAAGTACTTTAACATGGAAACTCTGAGTCAGACTTACCGGCACAAAGACCGCTGCTATCATTAAAGAAAGATCCAGAGGCGCATGGTGTACAAACCCAATATGAACAGCGCAACTGAAGTGGAAAAAGCTCTTTAACAGGCAAAGTCCTGTTTGCCCCCCATCCCTATACCTGGAAGACGTTTCAGTTTCTATTTTTAAGATATTGTAAAGCCTGTTAAAACTAGTCCCATATATATCGAGCACTTACCACTGCCTAGTCTCAGAAGCAGCACATCCTGAAGTCTCCTGTTCAAGTCTCTGAGCTCTTTCATTTCTGACACTAATGCCCCATACTCCTTTAGCTTTTTTGCCTGCTGCACAAGCTGTCTCCGTGTTCTCTCAAGTTCTTGCTGAATATGTCTCATTTCTTCTTGCTGCTGTTGGTAACTCCTCAACAATTCTTCATAGAGAACACGAGGAATTACAGCATCGTCCATGTTGTTGATGCCTTCCGAAGTCTCCATAAAGGTTTCCTCAGGGCTCGAACTACTACTGAGACTCATCCCGTTTTGCTTTTCTAGGCGAGCAACAACTGCTTCGATGCTTTTGTGTGTACCTTCACTTTGTTTCCTCCCATCTTGTCTCTGTGTGTTACAATAATACAGAACATTAGCAGAGCAGGAACTCAATACATAACATGAACTAAAACTCCAGCCTTCAGGACAATTAAGGCTGTTTTCCAAAAAGGTGAGACAAGGTCCACCTTACAAAAAAATGTTGCTCCTAAAGGATGCTTGTGAACACTCTTACCATAACTGAATTGTGTGTGTAATAATATGCAAACTTTAGGAACTGATGGAGGCCTTTCTTGGTTGCATTTGTCCAAATTGTGTGTGCAAGTGAAGTGTACTTTAGACAGACCTTTCCTAATTTAAAAAAAAAAAAAAAACTAGGGCTTCTCCCTTTTGAAAGTCCGGCCCTTCATGTTTGGCATATATACAGTGTTTATATTTCCTTTCTGATTGTCTTAAAGGGAAAAAGGGTATCAATTATGTATTTCGTATGTTATCCATAATTGCAGGGTACTTTAAAAAACGACTGAAGTAGTGACTATATTTTTTTCACCAGTATAAATAAGAGCAGTTTTACTGAGTTAAAGAGAGAAAATGGGTTGACAGAAGCACACCATTTGAAGCCATTTTATGAACTGAGGACTTGTCCTTTCAATCACTACGCAAACAAACTTCCACTGACTATCCCCACCCCCATGCATGCATACACACACACACCCCTCCCCATGAAAATAAATGAGTTATACTATTTGCAAGCACTGGAAAGGGAATTAGAATAATAAATTAGAGAATATACAATCTAGTCCCATCCCCCAGATCAAGAGATTCCTTATATATTAGTACTGCATTGCAGATGTTTAATTTCCAGTGAACTTCTAGCAGCAATTTACCTTTGCTCTCTCTCACAGTAGTCCAAACCCTATTAATAAATGCATACTCCTTTGTAAAGGGTCTGGATGATGGTATTACCATGTATCAGTATAGGCAAAAAGTCACCAGTTTTTTTCAACTGGCCAAATATAGAAAGAGTATTTGAATTTCCAAGTAACTGACAGGAAAACAAACCTAGCTCATGGGTTAAAACACCAAAAACTGATGCTATCAATTCCCATACCACGTCCATGAGTAATGTGGCAGAAAATGAGATTATTCAATGTTATTCCTGCACCATACATGCTCTAAAAAATGCCATCCCACCATAAATAAATCTACTAGTATAATTCCTGCACCTAGACAACACATGAAGGCACAAAGCAATATCCCTCACCCCACCCCACCCCCCAAGGTTGGGGGACTTTTTAAAAGGAGAAGTTACTTGAAAACAAAAACAAAAAAATTACAGTTTTTGACATCTCAACCTGAGGAGACCACTGATCTCTATACCAGAGGGATTCAATCTTGTTAGTTTTTCTTCCCACCCATTTCTTTAGTCTGGACTTTCACAGCACTCTGTTCTATTCAAGACAAGCTGAGTACAATGGGTTAAAAAGTGCCACCCAAGAACAGCTGCTTAATAATAATGTAACTGGGGCAGCCTGGGCCAAAGTTAAACAACACCGTTCCAAAAATCTCTAACAGCAATTCAGTTTTGCAGACTGTATAAACAAAAATAATTCTCAACTGCACATGAACTGGATTTCTGAAAAAGTGCTCTGTAAAGCAATTCAGAATTCTCACCCACAGCCCCTGCCCGCCAATGTGACCCAATTACATCAATACAACGTTTTAAGGGGATGGAAAGCCAGCCTGGAATTCTTCAGCTATGACATGTGTGCATATGCCCCAAGCACTTTCACACACACAAACACCCAAAAAAACAAAAAAAAAAACAAAAAAAAACTTCAATACCTTACTGTGTCTAAGCTCCACATCTTCTTCCCCATAATCTGTAACCTCCCCAGCTTCTTCTACGTGATTGAGAGAGAGTTTGGGGATTTTAATTTTCTTCTGCATCACACTGTTTTCAAGGTCAGTTTTGTCTTCTAAAATGTATATTAAAAATAAAAATGTTGTTACATTAATCAAAGTCTTCTTACTTCCAAATATTGCATGATTTAGGCAAGACCAGTTAAAAAAAAATTCCCATGCTTTACTCCCCTCAATATTCAATAGATCAAATTAATCCAGTGTAACTCCTCTGACACCCATTAACCACAATGGTGCTATACCAGGGACAACTTGGCCATATGTGATTGTGCATATTAAACAAAAATGGCAAGTTAAATTTATGGGATAGTGATCAAATGCTTTAATGTATAGCTATTAGTACTAAAATAAAAGGTAGAAACCATTTGATGCTGTAAAGAATTCAACTCCCTAAGAACTACTTCCATTTCTTCAAATTATATTTATCAACAAGATCATATATATCATTCATAAACTGCTACTGAAAGTTCACATTCTGTTTAGGTCTAAAGTAAGAGAGAGTTTGGTAGTTTAATTGTAGGCCCTACTCAGCATCTGTCAACAGCACAAATCCAGCACATCGTCCGGAACAAATAGCAGATTCTGCAATGCTCAGGGCTGGAAAAACAGCGGGTCAGATTTGAGAGGCACTTGCAGAGAGCTGTGTGCAGAACCTGTACAGTGACCACTGACACCACCCCTATTTCTAGTTTATAATACTAATCCTTTGTCAGAGAAACAAAATCCAGACAATAAAAATGTATTTATCTTGAGACCCAGAGAGGGGCCTATGTAACAGTGATTTTACTGTTAAAATATTTTTCATATTTGAAGTATTCTACACAAGCTCCTAAGATATGTACTTTACGCGGTTATTCTTTGGGACATACTAGAGCCAAACCCTAGTTTTTCAAAAAGTGCCTTGGGAATCTTTAAACAGACAAAGTCTGTTTGTCCTGAACATAAAGTCAGTTATGGAACGGGGATAACTTTAGATTGTAAAGTCATGTGTTCTATTTGTACATTGGAAGATTATGAATAAGACAACAATCAGTCCTCTTCTCCACCTTCGAACTGTAATCAATGAAATGTCCTATGAATATCTTTGAGAAGTGCAGTGTGGATACCAGTTGTGTGTGCTTAGTCACAGACTTCCACTTTTTCAAAATTAGCATCTCTCCACAGGACCTCCAATGGTTAGTTCTGACAGTGCAGAAAAGGGAAACAAAGGTAAATCACAGTTTAATGAGCAAGGCATTCATTAGAACCAGATTACACAGAGGAATGCAATTTATTTTGCTGCAGATAGAAATGGATTTCTTGTAGGCAAATGGTGATATTACAGCCCAAGGCTTTGTAAAGTAAAGAAGATGCAACAAACAAACAAAAGACAACCTGAAATGAAATTCAGATGGTAGCAATAGATACTACGACAGATGGAAGAAGAAAGAAAAAAAACAAAAAATGTAGGCCTTATTTACATCTATCTCCATTCCCCAGTGCATTTTGAATGCTTATGCCATTTTAACAAAATGGCAGTCTAACTGCTAGGTTTGGAAAAATCATGTCTGGAAACCATACAGAAGTAAGAGTGAAGTGGTCCATCCGTGTTGTCAGAGAGCAGGACAGGACAATTAGATAGGCTTCTATAAGACTGAAGAAAAAAAAGATTTAGAGGTGATAAGGAGAGAGAGATAAAGGAGTACTGATTATCTCCTTGCAAGCAATTATCAAAAATTAAAACTTAATGAATAAAACTAACCCAGTGTTGGTGAAAGGCACTAGATGTAAAGCTCTTGTGCAAAGAAGTGCTATTTTTGCATAGTACAGGTATTGCACAGGCAAGCTGCAGAGCAAGTTCTCCTACAGTGCCTTGCAAATAAGTTTCAAACTAACCTGGAAGAGAGCCCTTTTCTATAGTTGGAAAATGGAAAGCAATCTCCATGGACCAATCGGATTCTTGTCCTAGAAACAAGACTGATACAACCCATTCACTTTGCATAGGTTACTAAAGCCATCAGATGTAATTTTCAAGTCACTACCAATCCGAGCCACATGCGAAGTAGGGACAATGAGGTAAAATCCCTAGTCTGTTAGTTACTGTTTTTCATCGTCAATGTGGCTCCTTTCAAATTCTGCAATTTGGTTTTCCCCTTTTTTGATTTTGCTGCTTATCTTGTGAAATTTACTAGAGACTGGACAGGTAGATTGAAGAAAACTCACATTCTCCTACACCAAACTTTTAGACATTATGGGAGGAAAAAATGGATGTATAAGTTAAAGCAACAGTTAGGACATTTTAATGTATTCAGCTAGCTTGGGAGCAACAGAATATATAATACTCTCTTATGGCTGGTTTGTTCTTCTAGGTCTATTTATGCTTAATACAATTTATCCAGTGTTTTAGATCTGAACAAGCTGAAAGAAAAAGTCTCATGCTAAATTCTGGGATAATGCAGGAGTACTGCTTCTCATGGTGTGCACACATGCATTTGGAACAGTTCCCTTTAAGACTCTAGTTTCACTACTCCTGCTATTTGTTAGGATGCCCTTGGAGGCCTCTTTCCACTCAGCTTCCCAAGAACTCAGTTCAACTCCGGCCTTTGTCACTCAGGTATCTTTATTTGGCACACGGCAGTGCTATGCTGAATAGCTCAGATGGGGAAGGGGAGGATAAATGAATGCAGACTGCAGCGTTGTGGTAGGTTAACAGGAGCAGGTCCAGGAGAGGAGTCTGACATAGAAGAGAATTTGCACCCTTTTGTGCCCCAAAGAAAAGTAGAATATGAACCAAAATGGCTGGACTAGTATAAACTCAATGGCCCAAGACTAGCATAAGAGATTAGCAGCCCTGGGACAGATACGGCTTGAAGATTTGATTTGTAATGACAATGTGGCCCACATGCCTAAAATTTGTCTTGAACCATTTAAACTCTGTGCTGCATGTTAAGAATTGCACCATACCCTTAGGTGTTTATGGTTGTATTTTCAATTAGTTATTTCTATAAAATCCTGCTCCCATAGACAGAATAAACCCTTCAGCAATATGGCCACATAAGGACCTGAGGAGGAGAACCATCACTAAATGGGTGGATGTAGCAGAGCGAATTGGTTCAGGATGAGCCACAAGCCTGCATAGTACCGTGGGTTTTGGCCCTCTGAAAACAGGTATTTTGGGCAAGTAGCTCCCTGAAGGATCAGGTGATGCATACTTGGCTGGTCATGTGACTAAGGAAAGCCTGTGACTCAGTAGAGAGACACTCAAAAAAACTAGAAAGGCTGAGGCAGTTGCTCCATGAAGAGGTGAGACCTGGAAAGTGGGTCTCTGACAAGGAAGGTGGGGAAGTGTATGCACAGAAGGGGGCATAAAGGAGACCAGGCAAGATTGGGAAACAGTTTTGAATTGACATTTGGCTGACCAGCCATGGTGTTACAGTCCTAGGACTGGAGACATACAGTAGAGCAGGGAAATGGTCACCCTAAGATGTCATCTACCAAAGTGCTGTTGAAACAGCCAAGCCAGAATCAATGGGGTAAGGCAGAGTGAGAAAGGGAATTGTATAGCGCCTAGGAGGGTTGGAAAGACAACTGGACTGAGGAAAGGCTAAGGAATTGAGTTGGAGAACATAGGAGGGCTAGCAAAGGACTGCTGGGGCTGGAAGTAGAGGTCAAAAACACAGTGGCCTACAAGCCTGTGGAAGTCAATTTAGGCATACATGACCAGATGGCAGAGAGATAATCTGTTTGGTTACAACAGAATGGTTATGTGAAAGCCCTAAGACTGAAAGCCATATTCAGTAGTCACAAATTGGAAACCTAAAAGTCTCCTTAAAATATTCCTTGTATTCTAACCTAGCAATTGGGACTTGTATCTTGGTCAGACCTGAATAAACTGGATGTTTTAAAATACAGTTCAAATGTAGTCTTTTCGCCTCTGGAGTAAATGATGGAAAACTGCAGAGAAATAGCTCTGCACTCCAAGTGAATGAGAAATGGCAGATCCGAGATTGGGCCAAGAACAAGCTTGGCAGTGCTGTGCATCTTATGATACCAACAGTAAAATGAGAATCTAAGTCCATGTTTTCTCCTTTTCCCCAAATTTTTAGTAAATTTCAATCTTTGTGGAAGATGATGTACTAACAGAGAAACTTAAAACCTCTTCAGCCAGAGATCAGATACACTATGACAACATGGGTGCAAATTTCCCCCACACTGCCATGCCGATCTGCTTCATTCCTAATTTGGCGGAATCATTTCTGTGATGAGGGGAACTTTATCTCTGTATTTACTTAAGCCAGTGATTCTCAACTTGTGGAGCGCATGCAGCCCAATTTGCACACATCTGTGGCCCAGCTCAGCTGTGTGCTAAAGGCCACCAGCGTGCCGGGGTCACCAAGTTCCCGACTGCCTGGCATGGAGGGGTCCAGGCTGCCCGGCAGGGTCGGGGCTGCCAGCTGGTACCATGGGGGCCCGGGGCTGCTGGCCTGCCCTGCGAGCTACGGAGTCCAGGGCAGCCACGGGGCGGGGTCGGAGGTCTGGGGCTTCCAGCCAGCCCCGTGGGGTCAGGGGCTTGGGGCACCCGCCCAGGCCCATGAGCTCCGGGGGCAGCCACATGGCGGAGGTACAGGGTGGGCAGCCGGTGGGGTCGAGGCTGCCGCTGCTCTGCCATCCGGCCCCGATAACACATTGTGGGCCACATATGTGGCCCACAATGTGTAATAAGTTGAGAATCACTGATTTAAGCTTTGGCACTAACTAGCCCTCGTTTGAGTTGATAGATGCTATTTATGGGGGAGCACTACTATTTACCCTACCCAAGAACATACATATACCTTATAATACAAATAGACTACATGATCCCTAGCCTCCCCCACGCCCCTTTGCAAACGTATTTCAGACATGACAACAAGGAGTCTCATAGGTCAGAAAGGATGGGGCTACATAGACTAAGTTCTTTGGAGAAGTGACCATCTTTTTGTTATGTGTGTACACAGTGCCTAGTACTGTGGGGCCTTGATTCATAACTGGGGGCTCTTACGTGCTACCACAATACAAATATCACTAAGACACAGAGAAG